ATCCAGTGGCAGAAAGTGAGGTCACCTCTCACCCACCTTGCTGTGCCTTGAAGCTCTGTTCTCCAGCTGCCCCCAGCTACTGATGGTTTTTTTATTTTATTTTTTGGTATTTTTGAGACATGATCTCCCTGTAGCCCCAGCTGGCTTGGAACTTGCTATGTAGACCAGACTGGCCTCAAACTCACAGAGATCTGCCTGCCTCTGCCTCCTGATTGCTGGGACTAAAGGCGTGAGCCACCACACCTGGCAGTACTGATGGTTTTGATGGAAAAATATGAGCTTTAGAGCTGGGAGTCAGTGGGAATTGCAGTCGAGTCGCTTCTAAGTACAACTGTCTCCTGTGAGCCTCAGTCTTCTCATCTGGGAGAAACGGACAGTGATGGCTATCTAGCAGGGTCTGCTCAGCTAATTGCTAGAAGGGGCAACACAGTTTGTTTAGCTAACGTTAGTTCAGCCTCCAACCCCTGCTCTGGCTTCAGGTGCCCCAGCAATGTCTCCTGCCCCCTCCTGGATTCCCCTGGCTCCTGGTAATTTTGTCATTATTTTATTTCTTTAGCAATGGCTTTTTGTCCCTGGGATACCACTGTTTGTGCTAAGAAAAGAAATCTCTCGGTAGTCATTTGTGTAGGAAAGTTTTTTAGCTTTTCTAAGAATCCACAGCCTTAGAAGTAAAAAAGGAGCCAGGCATGGTGGTATACACATTTAGTATCAGTGCTCAGGTGGCAGAAGCAGGCAGACCTCTGTGAATTCGAGGCCAGTCAGCACTCCATAATGAGACTGTCTCAAAAAAGAAAAGTTGAATAGGAAAAACCATTTTGGGGTCCAGCAATCACATAGACCTGAGTTCAAATTCTGTCACTGTTTCCTTCTTATGAACTCTTAGGCAAGTGACTGGAATTTTATTTTCCCCCAGGTAAATAAAACTGAGAAGTTCCTAGGTCAAGACAGTACCTTCTTCCTTGGGTTATTTATTATGTATTTATATTTATTTTTTGAGGTCTGGAGTTGCTAGCTGCCCATGTCTGGTCACATGTCCATGGTGTTACTGGTTCTGAATTCTGGATACACACACACATATACACACAGTGCACACACATCTCTGATGGCTAGACAGGCAGAAGCACTGCAAGGAACAAGAACTCTCTTTCCTTCCTCCCTGCCCCACTGGTGGTGGCTGCAGCTTCTCTGTGTTCTGCAGTGTTGGAAAAAGAAATTACAGAACAGATTGCAATTAAGGGGGATGAAGGGGGGAGAGAGACAGAGGCCCTAAAATGCAGCTTGACTGAGTGCTAAACTGTGTTTTTGCCTGGAGCCAATCAGGAGCCTCTGACAAGAGCCTGTTCCCACTTACAAATCTAATTGCAGGAGGTGTGGCTGGGGTGGCCCTGGGAGCCTCAGAGAGAAGGGGGCTGCCAGCCCCTCAGGGAAGGCTGCTGGCAGGCTGCTTGTTTGTTGCTTTGAGAGTCACAGAGCCATGTAGGAAGGGAGGTGGGGGGCAGAGGTCTTGGGGGCTTGGGAAAGCCTGGACTCCGGAATTTCTGCCATTTTTCATAATAGCTACAGAGATTTCACATGTACTATGCTCCATATATATATGAGAACTCCAGATGATTATTTGCCCCTTTTATAGATAAGCAAGTGAGGCAGAGTGTCCTGCTGCCTGCTAGTTATTACCGTAGGTCTAGGTTCTTTACTTACATCATGTTGCTCCTAAATTTCCTGGCCCAGCAAAGAGGAACATATCACAGAGAGTAACCTACTTAAAATCATATAACTGATTTATGAATGAACTAAGCTTGAATACCGGTCTCTTTAGCTACAGAAAATGCTCATTTTTTTGTTGTGTTGTTTTGAAACATTAGAAAAAAAAATAATGCTAGGCGTGGTGGCTCATGCCTTAGTCCCAGCACTTGGGAGGTAAAGGCAAGCAGATCTCTGTGAATTTGAGGCCAACCTGGTCTATGTAGTGAGTTCCAGGTCAGCTGGGGCTACAGGGAGACCCTGTCTCAAAAGGCCGAAAAAAATATATATATATTAGTTTGGGACTGGAGAGATGACTCAGTGGTTAAGAGCACTGGCTGTTCTTTCAGAGGACACAGATTCAATTCCCAGCACCCACATGGCAGCTACCAAACTCCAGTTCCAGGGGATTCGACGTCCTCCTCAGGCATTGTATGACACTGATACATTTACATACATGCAGGTATATCACTCATACACATAAAATAAATATAAATAAATTTTTTAAAAATAAAAACATTTTTATTTATTATTTTATGTATGAGTGTTTTGCCTGCATGTCCATGTCAAGGCATCACATGCGTGCAGTGCTCACAGAGGCCAGAAGAGGGCGTCAGATTCCCCAGAACTGGAGTTACAGTTAGCTGTTTATTTTTTTTTTACTATTTTATTATTTTTATTTTATGTGTATGTGTGTACTGCCTGCATGTAGGTAAGTGCACTTTTGTCATGCAACACTTGCGGAGGACAGAAGAGGCTGTTGGATCCCCTGGAACTGGAATTATGGACAGTTGTTAGCTGCCATGTGGGTGCTGGGATTTGAACCTAGGTCTTCTGCAAGAACAGCCAGTGTTCTTAACCACTGAGCCATCTCTCTAGCCCCAGTTGTTAGTTGCTATATTGGTGCTGGGAACTGAACCTAGGTCCTCTGCAAGAGCAAGTGCTCTTAACCACTGAGCAATCTCTCTCCAGCCCCCGCCCCCAGCCATCTTTAACTTTTATTTTTTGGTCTTTTTTGAGACAGGGTCTCTCTCTAGCCCCAGCTGGCCTGGAACTGGCTATGGAGACCAAGATGGTCTCCATCTCACAGAGATCTGCCTGCCTCTGCCTCCTGAGTGCTAGGATTAAAGGCTTGTGTTCCCCCCAGCCATCTTGCTAGCACTGTTTTGTGTTCTTTTCTGAGACAGGGTCTCCCTGTGTAGACTCGACTGGTCTTAAGCCTGCCAGCCTCCGAGTGCTGGAATTACAGGCCTGTACCATCCTGCCCAGCTGAAGATACATTTCAGTTACACTGTACTATTTACTAATCCTTGGTAAGAATGTTATGTTTATCAAAAGAAAAACAAAAGCCCAGAATAGCCAGTTAAATGTTAATTTCAGATAAATACTGAATTTTCCTGAGTATTTTAACAATGTCTCAAATAGTGCATGGGGTATATCTGAATTAAAAACTAGTCATTGCCAGGGCTGGACAGATGGCTCAGTGGTTAAGAGCACTGACTGCTCTTGCAGAGGACCCGGGTTCAATACCCAGCACCCACATGGCAGCTACGAACCGTCCTTAACTCCGGTTCCAGGGGAATCCGAAGCCCTCTTCTGACCTCCGCGGCATTGCATGACACGGGTGCACTCACATACATGAAGGCAATACACTCATACACATAAAAAAAAACAAAAAAACCAAAAAACCTAGTCTTTGTTCATCCGAAATTCAAGCTGAACTGAATGTCCTGTAATGTGTCTGACATTATAGGTCTTTTTTTCTCTCCTGCCTCTGGCTCCCCTCTCCTGCCAACAGTTCACCCTTGTAAATACATGGCTCTTTGGAATCAGAGGAGCTCTGTATGAGTAAGCTGCCAGAGGATAGACAGCTCCTTGGCTGTTTGGCTCTAGAGTCAACTACCATGTATCTTTGGGTGAGTATTCCCTATGCTACTTTCAATTTTTTGAGACAGGGTCTCATGTAGCCTAGGCTTCCCTTGAACTATCTTTCCTGTCTCAGGAATCAGGTAGGTAACAGGTAGGTAACTGCAAGTATCCCAAGAACCCTAACTTTCTTTCATTTATTGAAATTTTTTTTCTTTTGGTCTTTTTGACACAGGGTCTCCCTGTAGCCTCAGCTAGCTGGCCTGGTGCTTGCTATGTAGACCAGGCTGGCCTTGAACTCACAGGGATCCACCTACCTCTGCCTCCTGAGTGCTGGGATTAAAGGCATGCACCACCACTACCAGCACCTACTGAAATATTTTTATTGATTTGAGAATTTCATACAATGTGTTTTGATCGTCTTCAGACCCCTCCCCATTTCCCCTTCCCCTCTCCTCCCCATACTCTCACCCTACTACCCCCACTTCATATCTTCTGTTATTAGTCTTTCTTTTATTTATTTGGTATTTATTTTATTTTATTTATTTATTTGGTCTTTTTGAGATGGGGTCTCCCTGTAGCTCCAACTGGCCTGGAACTCAATATGTAGACCAGGTTGGCCTTGAACTCACAGATCTGCCTGCCTTTGCCTCCTGAGTGCTGGGATTAAAGCGTGCGCCACCCTGCCCTACTCCTTGTCTATTTTTTACCAATTTTAAAAATTTATCCCACCACGTATTGATTGTCAATAGATCCTTAGCTAGGGCTGGGGCTTCCTGCCCACCTCCTCCACCCTCTCTGAGTCAGCTTGTGTTTGTACAAGTCTTGTCAGAAGTGCTGTGGACACCCTTTCTTCGTACCTCCTTCCTTTTTGCTGTCCACAGGGGCTGGACCTATACAAAGGAGAGTTAGGAATCTGCAATCATGCTGTTTTGACAACATGCAGCCTCTAGGACATGGAGTCCAGGGAGATCAGTAGTCCTAGAGGAGACACCTGGTGCAGAGGGATGTGAGGGGGAGGGTGCCCATAAGGAGGATGCAAGAAGCCAGAGCTGGGACTGCTGGGAAGTGGGCTGTTGTGCTATTTTTTTTTTGTCCTCCAGAGGTGGCAGGGGACCCAGGTTTCAGGTACCACTCACCCTTAGTGACTGTGATTTTGGCAAATTCCTTAACTGAGGCTAATGCCTCTGTTTCTTCAACTGTAAAGTAGGGCTAATGCTGCCTAGCAGAAAGAGCAGAATAAAGGCTTGCTGTTATTACTGTTGCTGGTGGTGGTGGTATTCACATTATCTCTATGTTTCTGAAAACAGCCCTTGAGGAAGGCTAACCCCAACAAGGGCAAAGGCACTTGGGCCCTCTTAAAGCTTCAGCAAAGAACACAATACAGTCCAGGCTACCTTCATTTCAGCTACATTTTATTTGTTGCATTTTTGATAGATGTCTAAATTATACATTGAGCTTTCCACATGACCAAACACCACATCCCTTCCTTTGATTATCATTTTCAAAAGGGACTATAAAAAAAGAAGCTTTGGATGGATCACACTGAACCCTGAAACCACATGGAGAGCAGAGCTAAAAATAAAAGGAAGAGGCACCCCCAAGAAGTAGAGGAAAGAGAAATCAAAGCACACTGTGGATGGGAATGGAGACTGAGTCCTGGTGAGGGTGACATGGTGTCACCCTCCAGGCCTGGCCGGATAAGGAGCGGCCAACAGTGCTGGTGGGGCACAGAGTGGCATAAAAATAGCCACGACTTTAGTCCAGAGGGGAATAAAGAAATCGTCAAAGCCAGGGGAGAGAAGAGTGGAGATGGAGGAGGAGAGAGAGATCGGCATCAGGACTTATCCTTCTACAGCATCTCTGGCTGCTGAGGACTTCTCTACCCGGCACAGAGCTAACCGCCAGTATAATCGCTGACTTTCAGCTGTGCACCGACATGTTCCCCAGCTCAGCCCACATCAATGACACCCTTGTTTCCATAGTAACCAAGGGAGCGCAAAGGGGAAAGGGTGTATTGCACTGGGCGCAGGGAATCCAGCCAAAAGCAGCGGCACAGGGCGGGTGGGAGGAGGGCTCAGTTTTTCCCACAACTGGTTTGAGCTCACACTTCTGGTTTAGCTTGCCCTCTGGCCTCAGTACTCTCCCCCTGCATATTGAGATACAATGGTGCACAGAGCAAAAGTCTTAGCAGGGCTCACTAGAGTGGGGGAGGCACAGAAAGTGGGAGGCATCCCCTTTCTAGCTTCAGACTCTGTCCCCTGGTCCTGGCCACAGGGGGCAGGAATGGCACTGTAGAGAGAAAAGGGGACTTTACAAGTATTTTGTTTTTACAAATGGGAGCTTTCAAACTCTGCATTTTTTAGGCTCCACTCATCTACCCTAGGAGCCCCTGGAGGAGGGTTCAACAGGGCTCACAAGGAAGATGAAAACGTGTGACATCCACAGCATCTCGTGTCTCTAGTTGAAAAGCAAATGTGGACATTTACAGAGGCTGCTCAAAGCAGGGCAAGTGGCTCTGCCTGCTAGCTGGGGCCTGGGGAGGGCTCTTTAGAATAGTTCCTGGTGTTGGTGGTAAGAGACCAAAAATATTTTACAGCTCATGCACTGCCAGTCAAAGTTCCCTGCTACAGCATTCCAAAAGTGCAGCCCTCAAAGCAAGTATTTGGTTCTTCAGATAACTTCCCGGTACACTATTTAGAAGGAAAAACAATTTTCAAGAGCTAAAGCCACATTTTCAGACTGGAGAAGGGGCATTATAACTCTGTCCTTATAGCTCTGTTTTGCCACCATTCAAAGCAAGTGTAGTTTGGGTGAGCCAAGAAGTCAGTGAAAGCTGTTGCTGGGAGCAACTATCTCAGCAGTTTAAAAACCTCGCCTTCTTTTGTCCTGCAAGCCCTTACAGGTCTGTCCACAGAAACCCTAGGGTACCTTTTCCCCCATGTTAGCTTTGTTAATGGCTTTTGCCCCAGGCCACCTTTCAAACTAGCCAGGCTGCTGCCTCTCCAGCCAGAGTCTTGTCCAGAAAAAGTTGTCCTTTCTGCCTGTTCACATGCCTTGGTGGGCTTGGAAAGGGCCACCTCCCAGGATGAAAAGGCAGCTGGCCTCCCTGGACCTACAAGGCATTGGACAGTCTCTTATTCATTCTCTGAAAAGCCCTGACTGAGCTTATGCCCAGAACAGAGTTCAATTCAGGAGCGGCGATGCTCTAGCCTGCTTTCGGGGTTTGAGGCTGGGCTCTCTGAAGGCTCCTTTTGCAACTGGGGAAGGAGAAGGCTTTGGTCATTCCTCCCCATCAATCAACAGAGGACACATTTTGCTGGAAAGAGGCATAAGAGATCAGCATGGGGTGACAATGGCTTCCCTGGGCAAGGCCCCTGCTATCACACCCTGGGCTCAACCAGCAGCAAACGCTTTCCACCCATGAGCATCCCACACCACCTAGTTGCCAGCACTGTAAAAATTGATCTTTCTTCAAAATTGATCTGCCTGGCTTTTCTCAGTGGAGCAGGTTCATGGCAAAGCTGCGTTTATTTTAAAAATCTGATAGCAACAGCCTATTGTGATCATTTAAACACAGAATTCTTTGAGCTTTAGAAATCCTTTCTATAGGACTGCAGTGGAGAAGTCAGCTAATCTCAGAGTCGGCTGCTCCCTGCTCCACTGAACTGGAGAAAGCCTGTTTACGCTAGCCTGAGCCCTCGATGTGAGGGCTTTTTAAGGACCTTGTAATTTTTCTGGAATTAAACCTCCCACCTCTCCTTACATTCCAGATGTCATTACAGTCAAAAGTCTTAAGAATTTGCTTCCCTGCGTGGCTGGCTAGGGGGCCTGGAGTGCAGCTATGTTTCTGTAGTGACTTGCTTTCAAGGATGGATTTTTTTTTTTTTTTTTTTTCTGTCCAAAGAATGAGGATTACATACAGTCTCTTACCTGCATGACAAGATGGTTTAATCATCTGCTATCCCTTCCCTCCCCAGCAGCTTCCTGCTGGATAGACCAAAGCCCTGGTTCAGTTAGGAATGGGGGAAAAAAAAATCTGACCAGCACCAGCAAATATAGTCTGTGGTTTCCAACCACTGAGGAGTGAAGGGACAGGTCAGTAAATAAATGAACTCAGCACAAACAGCTTCGTCCTCTTTTTCTTCCCTTTTTTTAAGGAAAAAAAAAAAAAAAACCCACTGGAATTGTCTAAACTGCAATGCAATCTCTTGCTCATTTAAAAGATCTCATTTTCTAGTCATGTGCTTTGAGACATTTAATACTATTTCAGTTATGCAGAGGAAATAATATAATTCCTTTATTTGAAAAATGATACTGAACCTCCAAGATCAGTTAAAATCTGCTGGAATGGGGATTCTTTCTAAACTGTGTTGTGTCCGCTCTTCAAACAGCTGTAGCTCTACACAGATGGAAAAACATTTGGTCAGAAAGCAGCAAATCAGTGTTTTTCAGGGCCGAATTCAGCTCCCACAGCTCCTGTCTCCATTCGGCCAGATTTTATTTCTTCTTTGCATTGACATTTTTGCAGACCCAGTTCATGCCATCCTTGAAAGGGAAATGGGCAGAGAAAGGCAGTGTTAGTTGCCTCAAGAAAGACCTCAAGAGCTCAGGCCACAAGGGGAGGAGAGATGGACCACCAACTCTAGGGTGTTTGTTGGCCCCAGGGGCCCACCTGGGTGACCAGGGCAGTGACCTCAGGGAAAGGAGGACAGAGGTTTCTAAGAGAGGGAGGAAGACAGAAGGGGGGAGGTGCCCAGCATCTGAACTTGAGATGGGTTCTCAGGAACTCCCTCTGAAAAAATAAACACATCTGCCTGGGTCCAAGGCTTGACTGAGGAGCTATCAGGAAAGATTCCAGCCATTTTTGGCTTTTTTTAAAAGCTGACCTTTGCTAGGGCATTAATTCAATAAGCTCCCCTTCTGGTGCGCCCCAGTGTTTACAGTGTGACAGTGTACACTTGGGTTAAATTAAATTTTTTTGGAAAAACAAACCCTCTGTATTAGGTGTTACTTCACACACACAGGGGCAATAAGCATTTATTTCTATAGATAGATTTAAAAGGGTCTGGCCAGCTTCTTGTAGCTTTAAGTGCTACCAAGCAGAGGGACTGGGAGAAGGTTCCCTTAAAGGCACAGCGACCTTGAAAAAGTGTCCTCTTAGCAGGCTGGAAAGGACTGAAGTAAAAAACCACACAATGCCTACAGCCACCTGGCAGGCAGCACAGTTCCTCACGGATGCCAGGCCTGTCAGACATGACCTGCTTTTCAACCCCCTCTGGAGCCATACCTGGATGCCCCCCTTCCCCAGAGGCTCCCTGACCTTCAGGAATGTGCAAGTTCCTTTAGAAGCCCAGAATAAAATTCAAGACAGCCCCTGCAGTAAATTCTTGCCCTGTATTTGGGTCCCACACATTTGTGTATGTCAGGCACATATGACACCCCAAACCCCACATTTCTTGTTACCGTGGATCTAGCCACTGAACCTGAACAGCTAAGACAGCTTACAGAAATAAATATCAGCTGACATCCTCGGCCATTAGGAACATTAATCCCATAAACAATACATCACTGCAAAACAACCAGCAGGCATCCTTTCTCCTGGCTAATCTGACCATCACCTGCATTTGTGGTGATTAAAACACCACCAGTTGACATCAGGGCACTTGGGCAGGAGAACAAGATAATCTGAGGGAACATTACGCTTTGCCAAGATAAGGCCTGGCCCTGGCAGAGAGTCCCCAGGTGGGGAGCACCTGGCCTCTGCTGGGCGGGTGGAGGACTGGCGAGAGGGGGTTGATGTGCATGCATGGGGGCCCGGGTGCATCTCCAATTACAACTGGGTCAGCAGCTCACTCTGAAAAGCTGAGGCCAATTTCAAGACCATTTTATGAAAAGGATTAAAGAGAAGCATGTTTAATTTTAGTAGCTAATTGGTTTCTAGGAAAAAAATGATCACCTGCCAGGAGACAAAAAAGATTTTACACATACAAGAGGGCTGAAACGATAACCATCTTTCTCTTGCTCTAAGCCACACCAACAGCTCAGCACTTGTGCAGTATTTCCATCTTCAAGTGCAGCGCAAACACCCAAAGGTGCCACCTCAATATTCTCTTCTCTTCAGACACTCGCAGCATTTTATTGGGCCAGCTTCTCAGAGAAATCAAGAAGTGTTCCCACACAATATGAACACCATTTTGTCTTTTTTCTTGTTTTATGGCTGATGAAGGAGGGGGTTGTCTTTTATTATATCTAACTGAACATAAATGCAAGGCAGAGAGAGGGAAAATATTTACTCAGCTGCAGGCACTCAAAGCAGAAGGTGGAGAGCAAGGGAGCCTTACCCTGGTATCTGCGGTGGAGGTGGAGAGGGGTTTAAAGGGCCAGGCTAGCTGAGGGGTGCTGTCCTGCAGATGGTGGGAGGACCTAGGCTGGAGAGGCAGGCCCACAACAGTCTTACCAACAGAGGGCGCCCGAGGCAGCACCCAAGGCTGACCCCCCCCCAGCCTGTGCCCCTCCCCCCAAACCCAGAGGAGTGTGGGAAGCATCAGGAGCCATCAAGGGGTGAATCCCTGGGTCTCCATTGAGCTCGGAGAGGCCCCTGGGAGCCACAGCATTGGGGGCTGGGCAGAGCACTTTTCTTGTCACTGAAAAGAAAACCTGGGCTGGAGGTGAGAGGTGGGAGGAGGCTACAATCCTCTGTGACAATACCTCATTAATCAAGAAGGGACAAGCTTTGTCAAGTAGCCCACTAAAAAAAGGAATGATAATTGTGTTATCCAAAAACCACAAGGGGAGGGTCCAAGCTCAGGGTCTCAGCTTGGCATTCGCCTGAGGCTGTATTTACGGAAACTGGCATGCTGTCTGGCCTTCAGTCCACACCTAATTTATATCCTTTAAAATTAACTCTCATAACAACCTAGTGAAATAGGTGCTATTATTATTTCCATATTGCAGACAAAGAAGTGAAGGACAGAACAGTTTGGAGCAGAGGTGGGCTGTGAAGCCAGCCTGCCTAGCTCCCACCAAGGACCATACACCACTTCTCTGTTCTCTGTGACTGGGTAACAGCTAGAGGAAGGGCTCTACCTCTAATTTAGAGAGGACCTAGGAGTCACCATGAAGGCAGGTGTGAAAGCAGCCATATCCAGTGTCTTCCTAGTGGCTTCTGCTGATACAGGGTGAGGAGACTGGAGGAGTCCCCCTACAGGGCACCCAGCCTGCCTTTCCACAGCTCTGGACCTGAAGTTGTTCCTGGACACAGACAGAACTCTCCAGGCTCCTGGGCTTCTGGGGATCTAAGCCTGTCGCAGGTTCCATGTTCATTCACCTGGCTACATGAGTCTAGAACATCAACTATCCATGTGCACTACCTCCTCTAGTGGACACTCTACATTGAGAGACACCAAAATCACAAGTGGAAGAACCTTCAGCTTCTATGTTTAAACCAATAGTAGGATTTATTTTCCTATAATAGACAATAGAAAAAGGGTGATCTCTCCCTTGAAGGGAGTAACTGTAGGAAATGAACTCATAGGTTTGTGTAATGGTTGAACCTTTTATTGTTAAAAACTGGTTTGACCAATTTCCTGCACATTTGATCTTCATTATGGGGATGACAATCTTTGGTGTGAACAGTGCCCTGCATTCTTCTTCTACCATACCTTTCCTTTCCCTGACTAATGTTGCTGAAACTGAATTTGAATTGATTAGCTTCAATTCAGTAATAGAGACTAAAGAGAGACATTGAATCTCAGACAGCTTTGTTTGGCCTCATGGAGAGGAAATAAATTTCTCTGTGTCACAACATTATTCCCAAGTCCAGCCACTGGGAAAAATGTAAGGCTGCCCCTAACCATATTGTGGAAACCTACTAATCACAGCCCCACATCCTGGGATTTAAGGTGGGCTGCCTCTTTCTATGGGCACAGTTGGTCTCTGACTGCGGTACTCTATTTAATTTGATCTCAGTCCAGTGCATCCATTACTGCTGGGTGGCTGGAAGGAAGCAGTGGTGGCCATGGTTGGGTGGGCTGGTTTTTAAAGCCAGTTTGAGTATGTGGTCACTTCAGTAATTGCTTTAAGATGATGGGGAGCGCAGGCCCTTGCTGAGCAGTGCAGCCTGTGCCATTGTGCCTTTAGGCCCCCAGGGTCAAGGAGCAGCTGGATGCAGCATACATAAAATATTGCTTGCTATTAATATTTTTCTGGTGACAAAGGGCACTGCACAAGGGAGGGAGCAAAATCGCATGTCCTAGGTTTGCTTTCTTAGTCAACAGACAGGTTTAAAAATTCAGACATAGACCTGAGGTCTGACTCACAGACAGATAAGCAGTATGTGTATCTAGAGTCAGTAACAGCTGATCCCAGGCCTAGAAAGAAGTACTGCCATGTAAAAAAATATTAGCCGGGAGTGGTGGCGCACACCTTTAATCCCAGCACTTGGGAGGCAGAGGCAAGTGGATCTCTGTGAGTTCAAGGCCAGTCTGGTCTACATAGTGAGTTCCAGGACAGCTGGGGCTGCAGGGAGACCCTGTCTCAAAAAG